TAATGACAGATATTCTAATGTAGAAGAAAATTGTGTTAGTAGTATCTGAAATTGTCGCAAAGTTGTTATAAATCCATTTAAAGAAAACTTTTTCAAATATTTTCTTGTTGGTTTTCCTACAAGTGATCCCCGAATTTCATTACCGACAGATAGTTGATTAGGCATCATTTCTACATGTATTGTTTCTAAATGTAATAAATATTCAAATAATATACACAATTGATATAGACTATATAAACGAATGTGTAAATGTTGTATATAAAAATTCTCTGTCCACATTAGCGATGGTAGTAGTGGTGGTGAAGAATCATCATGGTTATGCCTAAAGGTAGCAATATATTTACTATGAATATTAATTGTTTTCAAATGAGTGTTAGCCTGAAATAACAGATGACAACAGTGCGAATGTATATGCCCTTTAAACTTTAATACTAGAGTTGTTAATTGATGTAGAGATTTAAATTTTTCTAAATACATTAGAAATAGATCATTATTATCATCAATATCTGTTAAGATAATTGTATGCAACTGTGGATAGGCTAGAAAAATATTTTCTGATGGTTGACTGATATCAAATAGAAGAGGTAATTGTAGTTGTTTTAACTTTAATTTCTCTATATAAGGTTGGATTGTCATTAAATAATTATTAATCCATATTCCATTTGCATCAGTCAAGTCAATTCCATCTAGATAATGATCATAACCAGAAAATATTAATTGATTTAGTCGTGTATTTAAATTAAAAAATATTTCAGTAATTTCTGTTGATTTTAAATAGACAAATATATAGAAAAGTAATTCATTAGGTAATAATGAAAATGTTGATGACGAAGGTGTTGTTGTTGAGATGACTGTTGAATCTAGAAAGCTGAAAATTGTATAAATTTTTCATGCACTTTAGCTTTGTATCAGTTATGAGAAAGAAAACATATGTGCCTGATTACCATTTTTGTTGTCATTCTCTTGTTCTACTATTTTTAAACGATAGTTATGATCATTGTTACTCTTGTCATCATCATCAGTACTTAATTGTCGTTTTAATGATTGTTGTTGTCGTTTGCTATAAGCATTCATTTTTCGAATTTTTATCAACGAGAGAGAAAAGAAAAAGTGAATGGCAAAATGTAAAATAAGATAGTGATTATCTTCAAACAATCTGTGCTCAACACTGTTACCTGCAACAATTTTTTCTTTTCTCTTACTTTTACCTCACGTATTTAATTACACAGCACATTCTTTAGATGATGATTAATCCAACACTATGAGTAATGCATGCAAAAAGTATCGACTTCATTCTAATCATAAAAATTCGAACTGTTTCACATTTTTCCTGAAGAATGGATAATGGCTTATTGTCAGTTTTAGTGAACGCTAAAAGAGGTTTATCAGGAATAGCGTTTCTTAAGATACACAGCAGGATAGATGCAATAGTTTCCGGTGCATTTAAACGCGTCAGTTCGAAATGTAATAAATATTCAAGGGTGATTTGCAATATATTGGTACCGTTTGTGGAAAAAATGGTCAAAAACGAAGTTTTGAAGTAAAATGTTTTGACTTGCTGATTTTGTTACTATATGTTAAGAGAGAACAGGAAATACATTTCCCGACTACCACTATAAATGCGGCGAAGGTACGGAGACTCGAACGAATTCCTGTAATCCCCGAAGCCATTTTTCTAGAAATTGTTATAATTGATATAATTTAAGCATGTGACATATAGTTTGATAGATTTCGTAATGGTTCTATCTGACCATTATAAATGCTTAGAATAATAGCGTTCTGGCTTTTGCGACGATCTTAGGATCGGCTGAGAAGCATGTCATGTTCGCTGCAAGCGGAACGAATTTTCGCTATGTCAACAGAAATTTCTTGACATCGAGCAGGGTGGCTTGTCATTCCATATCCGCTCTCAGCGGTGTTGGATGGGTACTTCCATTCAGGTCACCATTACATGACCTAAGAGCCGGAAAAAATTCAAGACTCTTCCCGTGCAGGGCATAGAAAGTTACATAGAAATCCATATCTGTTCACTTAATGAGTCATAGTTTACATGCCTTTTCAAGGATGTTATGTTTCGACCCTCCCTCTGATAAAGCAGTTTTGATCTTATTTTTCTCTGCCTCTACAGAGCTTACACCATCGTTGGACATAACTCACGAAAGAGCACTTCGGGTAGTACAAATACTAATATTAAAAACTTCTTCTAGTACTTTTACAATGGCAGGCCAGTTGTCACAAAACGGTCGAAAATGAAAAAATGGCACTCAGTATTTCACCTTTTCTGAAGGCAAAACAAAACAAAAAGTACTTTCACTATTTTTAAAAATGAAGCTAAAGAGCTGATTGACCCAATAAAAAAAGAATAAGGTGGATATCTTTCTTTGCCTTTGAGTATGAAACCCATCTTTGAAGACCCCTCTACGAAAACAGTCAACTTTCGGGCTTCACAGCACAAAAACTATACCGTAGAATTTTTTTGTTTTTCTTCTATTTGTAGTACTCGTCGAGCTCTACAAAATGACATCAAAGATGTTTTTGGTCCGCTTCGTTTTCGTTCTGTCTTCCTAAATAATAAAATCTATTCATAAATATTGAAAGAGTCAATATCGAATATGAATGAACATTAAAAATGCAGCAAAAGGTCGTTTCTGCATTTGTTTTATACTTTTGACTCTTTGTGGACCAATCCTACACCATCTTTTTTTTCAAAAACAAAAATTATAGAAGAAATAAAAATGATCCCAAAAGTGAAAGATTTGTCTATAGACAGTGAATTTGAACAAGCACGAAAGATGTAGGATATCTTTTGAGTAGGATTTAAGTATTTCTGAAATAGATTCTCCAGATGACTAGCACCGATTAGACCAACATTAGACTAAGACAGATCTCGAAGAGCTCTATCAACTGCTTCACGACTGAGAAAATTTTCAATTTATTAATTTCTAATACATTGTGTCCAAAGAACAATATCCATGAGTTTATTTCTTTCAATCAATCAACATCGGAGAAATCAAAATGTCGCTGTCTTTCTGTACATCGATTTTCTAAAATCATATATTAACAAGTAACGCTCATTGCTACGCCTCGCTTGACCCTCGACTGAAACTGGTCTGATTATTATCTATCATTTCTTGTTGCATGTTGTATTTGAAATCTGTTTTCATTCAAATATCTGTATACAAAAAACTTAACTGTGCTCTCGTTGACGGCTATTCACAAAATAACTGTGTTATTGGTTTTCTCAAAAGATTTCTAAATGTAATGCAGTACAGGTAGCTCGCAGTCAGTCGGCGGCATCTCTATAACCCATCACTTCCGGACTACTCGATTTTGTGTATCATATAGGTCCAGCCTAACATACCACTTCATTTTCTTATTTCAACTGTCTTTCAGACGCAAAATTTCAAGGAAAAAATCCAAATACATCATCAATAAATCAAAAATTCAAATAAAATCAAACGTCTGTTGATAAACAGTTAAGAATTAAAATTGTTCTCATGATGGGTAAGTTGGAATATCCAACATTGGTCAGGCGACATTTTCAACGAGAAAATTTGCCTTATATTCCTTCCGAAAACACTATCAAAGCTATTTTGAATAAAGCGCTTGAATCTGGTTTAATACATGATCGTGAACGTTCAGGACGACCATCGTCTGCAACAACTGAAAAAGTTGAAGAAATTACCTAAGTTTTGACAAATAATCCTGTCAATAGTGTTCGTGAGGTTTCTCGTGAAGATAATGTTTCAAAGTCGGTGGTGCATCGAACGATGCGTGGAGTTTTAGGGTTCAAACAGTCCTACAGAATGCATTTAACACAACGGTTATACGACTTGGACAAAGATCTCCCTATATTGATTCCTACTGTTCTACAATTAGTTCGTTTACTTTTTGATCAACAATGATTCATTTATAATGATAAAATTTATCGTCAAATTCATAGTGGTGGTTGCGATTCACCACTGATGTCATTCTTAGTGAATATCATTCTATTCGATTGCGAAAAAGAATTTGCTTCTACTTTAAAGCCCCCGTCCCCCTTAAAAGTCCATCTCCACTCCGAACTATGGTTCGAGAGCTGAAATATTCAGGATTAGCTGCAACTGAAGAGGGATATTTGTAGTAAAATCTTCAGCATTATAGCCCATAATTTTAGGCAGATACCATCTTAACAAGGTCAAAAAATAGCTCTTTTGGCAACCCAAAATTCTCTCATTTTGCTGATGGCATGGATTTTAATTTTTTGTCGCTGGAAAGACCAACTCCAACTGCAGGTCATCACAGAGTACTTTTTTAAAATCATCAAAAAAACATATTTTTTCCTGAGAAAATCAGTTATATCAGATATTATTATCAGTTAAAATAGTTAATCGATCACGCCGATCATCATGGTAGCATTTGTTTTTCGATTGAAGTTCAAAAACCTAGTGAAAACCTATACTAGGTGGAATAGATCATTGGTTCCTATGTTCATGAAAAATTAGAAAATTGATAACTCAGTCAGAATCGATTCAGGCTATGTCAGAATATCAAGATACACTCTACTTTATCTCTAACGTATCATCAATTTCAATAGAACTTCTAAAAAAACAACATGCAATACTTGGGTTTTTCAAAAGCTTTTAGAAATCTTCCGTAGTAATATATTATTATTTTTCATGTTACACTAATTACCCGAATATTTTAAATTACCCCATCCCACAGAATCTCATTGACCCGATGAGGTAGAGTGTATCTTGTTATTTTGACATAGCCTGACTGAGTTATCAATTTTCTCATTTTAAAAATTTATATTTTTATTACACTATTCTATTGTTTACAAGAACTTCATTATGCTTCTCCATAAGAAACTTCATGTTTTTTCCTGACGAAATCAGTGTTTAGTCGGTGCTATTACACTGGAACTTCAGGTTTTTTCCTGACTAAATCGGTGTTCTTCGACAAAGACTTCTTGTTTCTTGCAGAGGAAATCAGTGCTATTCCACAAGGGCTTGGGACGTTTCTCTAAATGAATCGGTGTTTTTCGGGAACAGCTTCCGGTTTTTTCCTGAGGAAATCACTGCTATGCCACAAGAACTTCAGGTTTTTTCTTGAAAAAATCGGTGCTATTCCACAAGAACTTCTTGTTTTTTCCTGAGAAATCAGATTTTTTCCACAAGACATTCAGGTTTTTGCTGAAGAAGTCAGTGTTTCGTCCGTGCTATTCCGCCGGAACTTCTGGTTTTTTCCTCAAGAAATCGGTGTTCTTCGACAAAGCCGTCTTGTTTCTTGCGGAGGAAATCGGTGCTATTCCACAAGGACTTCGCACGTTTTTCTGAATAAATCGCTGTTTTTCGGTAAGATCTTCCTGTTTTGTCCCAAGGAAATCGGTGCTATTCCACAACAACTTCAGGCTTTTTCTCGAAAAAGCGGCGTTTTTCCGCAAGACCTTCCTGTTTCTTCCTGAGGAAATCAATGCTATTCCACAAGAACTTCAGGCTTTTCCCTGAAGAAATCGGTGCGTGTGGACAAGACCCTCTTGTTACTTCGTGATAAAGATCCGTACTATTCCACAAGAACTTCATTCTTTTTTCTGAAGAAATCGATGGTATTCCGAAAGAACTTCAGGCTTTTTCCTGCAGAGATCGGTGTTTGTGGACGAGATCTTCTTGTTTTTCCTGAGGCAGTCGGTGCAATTCCACAAGAACCTCAGGTTTCTGCCTGACGACATCGGTGCAATTCCACAAGTACTTCAGGCTTTTTCCTGGTGTTTCTTCCAGGTGTTTTTCCGCATGACCTTCTTGCTTTTTCTCGAAAAAATCGGTGGTATTCCACAACAACTGTAGGTTTTTCCCCGAAGACGTGAGTGTTTGTCGAAAACACCTTCTTGTTTTTTCCGGAGGAAATCGGCGCTGTTACATAAGAAGTTCAGGCTTTTCCCTGATGACCTTCTTGTTTTTTCCCGAAAAGTCGATGCTATTCCACAAGAACAGCAGGTTTTTTCCTGAAGAAGTAGGTATTTGTCGACAACACCTTCTTGTTTTTCTTGGCGAAATCGTTGGTATTCCACTAGACGTGCTTGTTTTTTCCTCAGA